ATTCGACGACGCACACATTGTGCGCGATCTCTCTGCCTTTCCTCGAGTCGAGGGTTCGTTGTTCGCTCGCGCAGCCTTTCCTGCCTGCGGTTCGCTCCGTTTCGACGCTTAAAAATTGTTTTCCACACCCGTTCCTTTGCCACGCAACGCGCACTTGCCAGATCGATCGATCGATCGATCGTGGATGGAGAGCCGATCACGTTTCCGCGTTCTACGGCTGGATTCTACCACCCTTTATGCTCCATCTGTCCCGAACAATCGGATTGGTTGCTCCGCCAAAGATCGGCAAATTGGCGTAAGTGGTTTGCCGATTTGAGATGCGGTCACGATTGAAACTAGGGATTTCAGTACTTTGGCTTTTCTTAGAACGGGGCAAACGTCGAGTAGAGTATTTGTGAAAATTGTTGCTTGTAATATTTCGCGTGTGTTGTAAAAGTTTTGTTAAAAGTTATGAACGAGAGGAGGATTAAGTGGAAAGAGAATTTGCTTAGGGAATGAAATTTTAAATGTACAATCTAGAGACATTCGATTCGTAACGCGAAAACGTTGTAAGAACATACGTAAGTAGAGATTTTCCTGCTGGAAGAGCGGAATTGCATTAAAGCAAATCGTTTTACACGCCTCGAGTGGCTTCCATAAGATCTATAATCGTTTAACGGCCAGTTAACTATACATATTATTAACGTGTCGTTAAACAGCTGTGGATATCGTGTAAATGATATACATATGTATGTGCATTAACGTTGATCAATGGACCGTTCTACCGATTTATTTTATATATATATATATATATATATAAAAACTGCCGTTACAAGAAAATAAATTATCCTCAAATTCATCAAATTTTTTTCGTGTCTCTCTTTATTTTCTCACGCGACCAGACGACGAGGTTATTAATTAAATTATTAATGGGTGAGGTGAAATTAGAAAAAAAAAAAATGGGATGCTTTTATGCTTTAAAACTCCTTTCCTTTTTTTTTTCTAAATTTAAACGCGAACATCACTTCAATCGCGTTATATTTATAATTATATTTACAATTTATCCCAATCGAGTCTTTTAAATTTCCCACGGAAATTTTTTCTTCGTTAATACACTAAACAATAAAATTTCGAAATAAAAAGTTTGCGAAGATTCACGGCTTAAGGAGGATTAAGGAACAGGAGGAAAGGAAAACAAAAATTTCAACGAATCGCAGTTTCTCCATAAGATAGGAAAACAAATGCTTGTATATCTGCGGATCGAACACGGAAGGCGCGAGATTTTTTTAAAATTCAAACACCTGCCGTGTTCTCCCACGCGAACACAGATAGCTTTAAACCGCGATATTGAAAAAAAGAGGAGAAGGAAGGAACGAGGCAAAGAGATATGTAATCGCGTTAATTCGGATAAATTCACAATTTCACCGCCCTTCCTCGCCGCTGGTATTATTAATTAATGCGCGTAAGCGGGGCAGAATGGCGGCAGGAAGTCGGCGCGCACGGTTGGCGCGAGCGAGAGCAGTTAATTCCTGCGGGTTTGCCCGTGTATCACACGGGGGTGGATTTGAGAGTCGCGGCGCGCTCCGGTTTGCTGCGGTGGTGATGCTGCACGCCATTAACAGCGTTTCGCCGGAAATGTAAAGCATAATGGGGCCGCCACCAGCTTCGTGGATACGAAACCTATTACGATCCGCCTGTATGACACCGACCCTCCTTGTTCCGCCCCGTTCAACAAGCCGAATCCAACATTTTTTAATTTTCAAATTTTCCCTCGAAAACGTGTACTTGGTAAAATTAATACGAATCTTATGATTTCGCGCTATTCTATTCCGTGTGTGGAAGTAATTTATTTTAT